TATCCTGGTCCCTTCATGTACAACACTGTGAAATACAAACCTGAGATAACCTCAACTTAGAGGGAAAAAAATGGAGGCATGTAAATAAATAACACTAACCAGGGCCCCTGAATACTGAACATTGTCCTCTGAGTGTGAAGTAAGTGTCAACCAGCTAATGGAACTGCTGGATAGATGGACTGGCCTTGGTACTCAGGGCAGTGACAACTGGTTATGTATGCATCAGATACTATGACAGTGCACTAGTGTGCCTCAGTACCAGATGGAAAACCCCAGACCAGGCCAGGACTTGTGAGCTGGAGGAAGTGGCTCCTGGAGAGAGGAAGAGTATTGATGATTAGCACAGGGAAGTCTGCCCTTAATTGAGGATCAGTTTAGGAACCTTTAATGAAGAGACATATTTAAATTAAGTGCATGGGTCTATCTCCTAAAACGAAGGTAGGGCCCTCTCTCTATCTTTTTATACTTACTTATATGTGTGCATATTAAAACTTGTGTAGAGGTCAGAAGACAGCTTGCAGGATTCAGTTCCCTCTTTCCACCTTTTAGGTTACAGGAATCAAACTCAGGTCATTGGGTTTATTAGGAAGTATTTATTTTATTTACTCACTGAATCATCTCTCTGGCCCATAATATTTATATATTTTAACAACGATAACAAAAAAACCACTTTTGTTTATATCTTAAAAGTCAGGCCTGTAAGTAGCCCTAATCCAACGAACTATGGCAAATACTAAGGATGCATGTAAGCTTTACTATTTATAAATAGAAAAGAGTTGTTAAGTTAGACTCCTGTCTACAACCATAGCAGAGCATCATTAGTAGTGTCAGGCCTTTGAATGTAAAGTAAATAAACTTAAATAATTTTTTTTAAAAAAGAGTTGTTAACTTTGGTCATCTCCAGCATCTTCGATATTAATTTTTATATTAGAAGAAAGTTATTCTGGGTTGGTTTCATTAATCTTAGAAGTGATGCCTTCACAGATAATTAATTAGAATGGTGTTTAAACAGAAAATAAAAGATTTCAAATAGCTAAAAATTTAAAGATACTTATGTTGAACAGTTTGCACTATTGTTGTGTAAGACCTCCTATACTGTTTGAGCCTAACGTTAGCACAGTGGGAGAAATTAATTCTTTTCTTTACCACTCATATCCTGCTTATATTTTTTGTGTATGAAACAGTATCTGAGGATTTCATTTACGTGGGTTTTTTTTATCATATTGCTTCTTTGAACTGTAGCTTGATAGCTGCATTTAATCACTAATATAGCAGACAGAAATTTGTTGAACTCACATAGCTACCAGGTAGTGAAAAATCAGATTCACACCTACACAGTCAGTTTCAGATTGTTTTTAACTTTAACCACAATGCTAAGTTGTGAATTTTGCTTCCTTAACCCTAAAAGTTACTTCAAACTGTATTCTTCTCTTGAATAAGTTTCCACTTGTCTCTTGCTATACTGAAATGTCCTTTTTACCTGTTTGTATAAATGACATTAGGAAAGTAGTCATTTATTTAAGTAGCTCTTTATAATCATCCATACAGTAATTGATAAACATATGCTGTGATTATCAGAACTCCTTTTCCAGATGTAAAACTGGAAATATGTCTAGTGTGTGCATAGTAAGTTGCCATTTTGGAATTTATGAGTGACATCTTATCAGGTTTTAGCTTGTTCCTTTGCAGATGCCTCCCATGTCTCTGTTACTGTGAGACCAAAGGGCAGTAGAGCTGGATATGCAGAAAACCCAAAACTACAATAGAAACAGTTTCCTTCAGTGAGCTTGCACTCAAGCATTGGTATATCTAGTGTAATTGATAGGACACACACGTGGATGTCTACCTGGAAGACATGGTAGTTCTATAAGTGTGTTATGAAATCTGCCCCAAAGCTGGAGGGCTCAAGGAAGGGCAATAATGGTACTCTCACTTAACCCTTGTAACATAACAGACTTTCTAATAGCCAGAGGGGATTGAAATGGGAATGCAGGTGAGCTGCAAAATGTTCAGTTATTGTATTTATTTGCTAATATAGAATATAACAATGAAGTGTCTGCTATGTTTGCTTTCTGAACATAGCTGTGATTTCTTTCATTATTATGTAATTGGCCTCTAGTTCATTTTTTTTCCCCACAGAACAATCACTATAGGCTATAGGTTTTATTTCCTGGGCATAATATTTACAACTGAGTAATCTCTGACAGATCATTTATATTTTCTGTGTCTCAGTCTCCTCTCCTCTAGAATGGTTACTACAGTTTTTACTGCACCTGAGTAGCATCAGTATTAACTAAGTTTATCTTGCAGTGCTAGACAAGGTATCTAATGTAATAATCACTGTTTTCACACTTGCCTTGATAATTTTGGGTTATGCAGATGACTCAGTTGCTGTGAAGCCATGTTATGTAAAGATTGCTCCATCATCTGACAGCAGCAGGATGGCTTGGCAGTCTTCCCACTTCCTATATATTGGGATTGTGGACAGAAACATGCGCTTTACGAGACATGCCAGTTTCCACAGACTTTAAATTCCAGTCCCATTATTGGTTGTTGGTTAAGAGTGAGGTTCCTCCAATTGGTTTCCCATAGTAAGGGGAACAAGGACTATTTCTAACAGGAACTCAATGGCTGGCTCTTTGACCTCCCCACCCCCCAAGGGAGGAGCAGTCCTGTTAGGCCACAGAGGAGGACTTTGCAGCCAGTCCTAAAGATACCTGATAAAACAGGATCAGATGAATGGGGAGGAGGTTCCCCCCCCATCAGTGGACTTGGAATGGGGCAGGATGGAGATGAGGGAGGGAGGGTGAGAGTAGGAGGGAATGAGGGAGCAGGATACAGATGGGAAACAAAGTTAATAAAATGTAACTGATAAGAAAAAAATAAAATTAAAAGAAAAAAAATAAAAAAAAAGAGTGAGGTTCCTGGAATCAATCTACTAGGACATCTTGGTGTGAATGTTGCTTTTGCCAGTGACAATGAACTGTTTTGAACAGAGTACATAATGTGTTCTGCTTTGATTCTTTGATTCATAAAATAACATCAGCAGCCAAACCCACTAGAGTTTTGAGAGTATTGAGAGTTAGCACACAGAATTTAATTAAACTGTCTTCTTGTCAGAGTCCTTAATTGGTGTCAGGTTAGTTAAACTTTAGTTTGTATTGTGATTATTGTGTAAGCTCTCAGAGACACCTATTAAACACCAGTCATTTAAACCATCTTCAAATTCTGGAGGTCAGGAGTCCAAAATAGTTCTTTAGGCTGAAGCCATGATTTCTTTCTGGAAGCTTCAGCAAATAGTCTATAAATAATCTATGCTCCTTTTCTGATTTCCAGAGACAGCCATGAGTCTTGGTTCAGTCTTCTCATCTTCCAAGGAGCATTAGTCAGCCAAGTCTCATGTGGAGTGATTCTTTTGTCTTTTTCATTTTAAAACAGGCCCGTAGGATCCCACTAGGCCCACAAAGATAGCGTATAGCGTGTTTCCCGATTTATAGCCATCTTGTTAATTTTACCTGCAACTTGAATTTGCCTTCACCATAATACTTAAGTGTATATAGGTTACAGGGATTAGGGCATAAACATACATGGAGGACTGGACTTACTACCAACCAGTATTGTCTTCATTGTTCTCCTATAAACTGCCTTTCCTCCCTGTTATTTACTCTCTGACCAGCCTTGGTGGCTTTCATGCTCATGCTCAGTTGAGAAAATAGACATAGGACGTGAAAACTTGCTTTATGTCCACACATATGCACTTCTCTGAACATGTCCATCTTTTCCTCTGCCCCTGCTAAAATGAAAGGAATGTTTCTCTCTATTGAAATCCTGACCTTCCTCAGCACTTTACTCTTCCACTTTAGATTCATATAGATGGTTTTGAGGTAGTTTTCTCCACCTAAAATAAAAATCTACTCTGTAACTACCTGTTTGTTCTCTTATTACCACTCCCTCTTTACTCCCTATCCCCATCACAGACTCACTTTCACTACTTGATACCTCAAATAGAAAACCAATCCTGATGCCAACCACCACTCTTCTCAGATTCCAGTATAGTGTTACTGTATATTGCTTCTCAGCTTCCTCTCAGGTGGCACCTTCCTAGTCAGTCACCAGTATATCGTGTGTAGACCACAGCTATGGCCTACGGCCCATATTCCCTTCTCTCCATGTCTCTTCCACTTCCTGCCCTGTCCCACTACTCGACTGATCTTTCAGAAATGAAGCAGACCCATATCTCGTCCTATTTTCCTTTAAAACTTATGAATGGCTGTTGGTCCTATTAGTATAAAACCTAAAAGTTAAACAAACAACAGAGTGAAAAACCCTTCATCCCCTGTTGCACTTATTCTCAGTGCAGTCTGTTCTACTTATTCCTTAAACTATGCCCCAGAAGTCATGAACTTTCTAATTGTGCTCTGTGCTTTGGGCTGTAGAGCATCATCCCACCCATGTGCATCTCCCTCTATTCCCAGGACCCTCCCTTGATAAGCTGTATGAGCCTTTCTTGCTTGTGTCTGTATGACTTACCCAGGCTGAGAACAGTAAATCTTTCATATACCAGTTTATTTCCTTCAGAAGTTTATCTTATGTGTTCATGTATAAGATTGATTAAACTATCACTATAGTTATACTTGACAGACATAGGTAAGAGTGGGAGAACCTCATACCTAATTGAAAGAATAGGCTAATTCCTTTGCCTATATTGTTGCACACATAGCTGTGACTATAATGGAGGAAAATGTAGAAATGACCCTTTACCATTTCTTCATTATAAGAGTGAACTGGTACCAGTTAGATCCTGGCAATCCCAAGTGTCTATACTATATGGGTTTACTGATTTCACTTGTTCTTGCCAACACATTTATCAGCCTCTTAATGGTCTACCTGGTCACAGATGACAGAGAAAGTGATTGAGTGATTGTGTATTCTCATGAGTTGTGGTGACTTGTGGTTTCTTGAGACTTTACTAATGTGTCTTTCTGTTTCTTATGTTTCAGACTATTCAGACTATGAAGACAGTTCCTTAGACTTTTTGGAAAGGTGTACTTCTCCACTAACCAGATCTTCTGGGAGTTCTCTGGCTCCGCGAAGCACATTTATGGAGAAAACTACAACCTATCAGTACCCAAGGGCAATTCTGTCCGTTGATCTTAGTGGTGAAAGTATGTGTGACTATTTAATGGTTAAAATAATACCTGAATATGAAACTGAAAATATGTATTTATCTTAAGTCGCTGTTCAAAGAGGCAGCACACTTGACAGATAAGCTAATAGGAAAATTCCATCATTAGATTTAAGTATATTTTTCACTACCAATGGATGTTTTATTTTTATTCACATCTTATAGGTCAATAGGCAAACCCCTGTTTAAATAATTATGTGGGTCCAATAGTGTTATAGTTAAAACTCAGTAAAAGTCTGTCTTAAACATAGTCCCTTTTCTACCAAGTTTTGTCACAGTCTTCAAATTATTCCTGTCACGTATACATCAGTAAATTAAATGTAATCAAGATTTGGCCACCGTTCATCAATACAAAGGGTCTACTGAAAAGAGCCCTGACTATAGATTCTTGGGCAGGTATAGTCCTGCCAGTGGGAGTTGTTGACTATTGATTTTTTTCCTTCTAGTACTATATACTGTAAGAGGAAAATCTCCCCTGGCTTTAGATACTGGTATCAATGCCTTAAGATAGAATTCCAACATGGTAGGGTAGAACGTGGTAGAGCCAGGAAATGTGGAAGGAAGGAGTCTTAGTCTTTGTTAAAGCCCAGGATCCATAGTAGGCTCACTTCTTGCTTGCCTTTGTAAGTACCCTAGAAGATAGGTACCAGGCTATGATTTCTTTGGCCTATTACTGCCTACTCTTCTAGGCCTAACTAGTCTGCAAGGTAGGGGAACATTTTCTTCCCTTTGCTGCCAAAAGTAGACAACATGTGACTTTCAGGATCTTAATTTTCAAAAGTCTGAGGTAAGGGAGAGGATTAAGAAAAATTACCTCTCTTTCCTTTATTCTCTTTACCAACAGGTGCAGTTACATTTTTTTCATTTGGTCCAGTGGCTTTCAATTGGACCAGATATATACATTGTAATCCTTGCTCTGGTACCTTTAACATTTTACAGTTTTGAATGCAACCAGTGAGCACAGATAGAATTACATTTTGGGGATGATCCTGTTGACATAGAATAGCAGCTTGAGAAAACTCATAATGTCACCCATCCCACAGGCTACCAAGATCTGCAGGTGGGCTTTTACTTGAAGGTGCTATAGGCACGGATTGGAGCTGAAGTGATAACACTTGAGAGATAGAGACTCGAAAGCCTGAATCCTGTTCATACCCTGCTTGGAAAACAAAAGAGGCAGAGGTTCTCAAACATCAGCATACAACACAACCACCTGTAGTACTTGCTAAAACACATTATTAGAGCCTTGCCTTTGGAGTTCCTACTGACAGATTACCAGCATGGTGGTGATGCCAGCATTGCTGATAGAGAAGCTCTCCTTAAAGAGCACTGTTCTAGGCAATAGCAGTGATGGCTGAGGAGTAGCAGTTTAAAGGGAGCAGATCTTATAAACCTGCTTGGAGCATTATCTTATGGCTTCTCCTGTGTTAGTGTAAGAGAAACACTGATTTGTCTGTCTTACACAACTTTCACCCCAGTGACCCAATTGTCAGCAAAATTGAGCCAAACTCATTTTTAATACTTGTGAGTCAGTTATTTAAACAAGATTTTTCTGGTTGATTTATTAAATATGTATGCCAGTACCATGAAACCTGATATTTGGATCATGTATGTTTATATTAATTACATGCTACTTCCTTTTAGTTTAAAATCTATTCTGTTTTATGATTGCTATTCTTTTATTGTCTCAAAGTGTAGCCCAAGATGATCTCAAGCAACTGATCATTATGGTTTAATGCTGGGATTAGAGGTGTAAGCCACCATGCCCAGCTAAGCAGTTGATGATTAACTGCCTTTATCAATACTTGGCTGCACAGTTCAACCATGTTACATGTTGTGTGTAAATGCATAGTATAATGCTTGACATATGTAATGTAGTGGTAATTGACTAAAAGATTATCACTATCTAGTACAAATAACAAAACCCATTCTTTTGTAACAGAAAGGCTATTATTTGTGAACATTCAATCAAAATTGTAGTCAATCGCAACTGCAAATCTATTGCAATTCATACAATTTGCAGACTGTATAGACACTAATAAGTTTCATTGTCAGTATTAGTCTTGGCCATAACCTGTTAGCAGGGAAAGTAGTGGCTACTCAGTATTACTTTCAGCAGTGTTTGGGTACATGAAATGGAAAGCACCAGAACTACAAAAATTTCAAATATCTGATTTTTTGGTTCAGAGGCAAGCACTCAGTTCACATGTGCTTGCTCTGCTGAAATGCTTATACTCACTTCCTATAGCTTCTCCCTGACAAGTGACATCATGCACTTTCATGTGTTCCAGACTTGTCAGATGTGGAATTCCTGGATGACTCCTCCACAGAAAGCCTGCTTCTGAGTGGGGATGAGTACAATCAAGACTTTGATTCAACTAATTTTGAGGAGTCTCAAGATGAAGATGATGCCCTTAATGAGATTGTAAGGTGTATCTGTGAAATGGATGAGGAGAATGGCTTCATGATCCAGGTACTATAGCTCTGCCTATAGTTCTGGATCACTGTGGGTATTGAGCAGGTACACCAGAGAGCTTTGCTTTTTACCAGCCATCCCTCACAATGTAGTTTCTAATACTTTGCCATGCTTTCAGTTCTAGCAGTACTGGTTAGAAAGTCTCCACTGAATCAAGTAGACACATGGCTTGTGAGTATCATTGTCTACTTGTAGGGTATCTCTTAACAGACTGAGGCCTTCATGCTGAAACATTTAAAGGTGTAGAGGTGTCTTTCTTCACAGTGCAGAATTGACTATAGCATGGTTTTTACTCACACTTAATAATCAGCCATTTATACCTACCCTATGGGGAGTGGGAATTGGATCCAAGTGTCCAGGATTCCCAGAAAAGAAAAGAGAACATTGTTGCAAAAATTAGCAACCTCTCCTTATAACAAGGGTGTGTCTAAGAAATCAAGAAATCATGGCCTGAATTTGTGTTGGTATGTAGGAAAATTAGGAAACATTGGTTATAGAAATGAAAAAAGTAGCCACCTTTCTTCTTTGTCAGTGGTGTTCTCAAATAAAGGTGCTGTGAAGTTAGAATTTTACCACATGAGTATTACCTTAAGTGTCCTTGCACAGACATTTTATAGATTTGCTTCAGTAAGTGTTTTTAGGATTTGATTGCCTGTGGATCAATGGAAAACACTTGGGAGATTTCTCTTAATTTATTAAAGCATATTTTAATACATGTGATATAAAGAAGTTCTTGAAATAGTTGACTATTTCAATGATAAAATTAATCTAACATGACTTTTTCTTGTGGCACATAGGACTCTAACTGGCAAGACAAGATAGCAGGCCAGCTAGTTAAAATGCAGCAATATGTGTCCTTGCCTTGCCTGTCCTGGTCTGAGGGTGCCGTTTCTGTCCTGGTCTGAGGGTGCCGTTTCAGCCAGCACTATGGGTCTCTTCTGTTCTCTGCAGTGTGAAGAGTGCCTATGCTGGCAACACAGTGTATGCATGGGGCTCCTGGAGGACAGCATTCCGGAGCAGTACATCTGCTACATCTGTCGGGACCCTCCGGGTGAGGCCCTCCGCCCCGTGTGGGTTGTGTGACGCGGACTTCAGAGTATGGCCACTGTATAGAGCACCTGCACTTCTTGGTTAGCTAGACTCCTCTGCCATAACGTGGGTTGGAGATACTTTTTGCCTGTTACAGCAGCATGACTTTCATAGTAATCACTTGCAGAAACACACATTTATGTAGACACGTTGACATACTGACTACCTTACCAAAAGGGAGATCATGGCTTTTTCCTGTAAATAGCTTTTGCTTATTCCTGTGTATTTCTAGCTAAGATTGTTTATGCTTATTTGAGTAGATGAATATCCATTGCCTGCTGACCATCTGATGCATTTTGAAGAAGTTTTGGATAGTGCCATATACCCAGTTTATTATAGAATAAGTGAAATTCTATAGAGCCTTGCCTATATCTTTTATTTCCCTGATAAAGCAGCTAGATGTGGGAACTTATATGTTTGTGCCTAAAGAGGTACCACTGAGTGGTATACTGAAATGAAAACGGAGCTTTTCGACTCCCAATCTATTGTACTTGTTTTGTCATGCCTTCCTTTATCCTAAGTACAACACTCTGCATGTAGAATATAATTTTAGCTATCAAGGCAGAGAATAACTAGTAATTAGGCAGATGAAATGTTCTCATGCCCACTGAAAAGATAAAGGAAAAAAGTATAAGAAGCAAAAGAGGGATAGGGAGATGGCTTAGTCCATAAAGTGCATTCCGTTCAAGCAGGAGGACCAGCAAGTGTTCTGATCTCTGGTATCCATGTAAAGAGCTGGGCATGCCTATAATCCCAGCAGTGTAGCAGTAGAGGCAGAAGGTACTCCTGGGCTTTGCTGGCCCATCAGTCTAGCCAAATCAATTCCAGATTCCATTAAAGATCCTGTCTCAAAAACTGAAGTGAAAAGTGATAATGAAACATAATTTCTGACCTCACACATACAAACAAAGAAGCAAGATAATTATTTGGAGTTCTATGAATATAAATACTTTTTTTTGCTTATGTATGGATATTTGCTATTCATTGTATGTCTTCAAGAACAAATCTAGATTTTCACTGTTCATTCAGTTGCATTTATTGGATACCTTCTATCTGTAAACATTGTGGAAAGATGACTGATTCAAAATATTCATTCACCTTATAGTTTAACAGACAGAGGAGCATATAATTGTAAGAGGATCCAGTATATATTAGCATCAAGTTCTTGGGTATTGTAGGGTTTTCTGAGGTCATAGTCAGGAAGGCAGAATCCCCACTTGTTTAGCTATAACTTTGTTTCATCCAGGTATGAACAGAAAGAAACCTGTGGTTTCTGCCAGCCATCTTAGAGGAAAGGTGTTTGGTAGACAATTGAAAAGATTACATCAGGGTTCTTTTGGCAGCTATCACCTGCCACTGACCCCTCAGTGCCATTCCTTCTCATGGTCAGCCACAGCAGAAGTGCTGAGGGGCTCTTGTCATCCCACCCTTCCTCAGCATGCTATATACTGTAGTCTGGAATTTTCTCTTGTTAGTAGAACTTGTCTTACTGAGGGGCATTAGTGGGAAGGAGGATCTGAATAAGTAGAATCCCTTATGACTTTAATGTCAACTCATCTGCAGGTCAGAGATGGAGTGCAAAATATCGTTATGATAAGGAGTGGCTGAATAATGGAAGAATGTATGGGTTATCTTTTTTAAAAGAAAATTATTCTCATCTCAATGCCAAAAAGATAGTTTCTACACATCATCTGCTTGCTGATGTCTATGGTGTAACTGAAGTACTGCATGGGTTACAGCTGAAGATTGGAATACTAAAGTAAGTGAACTGAGTCACACACTGCTTTTTACATTTTTTAAGTTATTTTTATTTTCTGTGTGTGTTTTGAGTGTGTTTATATATGTGCACTACATGGGTATGATCCCTGCCGAGGCAAGAAGAGGGTTGATATTCAGGAACTGGAATTATACATAATTATGAACCACCATGTGGGTGCTGAGAACTGAACCCAGATCCTCTGTAAAAGCAGCAAGTGCTCTTAACCAGTGAGCTATCTCTGCAGTCACATTCTTACAAATTTTAAGAAATAAAATCTTAAAATGCAAATCTTTTTTATTTTTTATTTTAATTTTTATTAATTACACTTTATTCACTTTGTATCCCCCCATAAACCCCTCCCTCCTTCCCTCTTAATCCCACTTTCCCTCCTCCTTCTCCATGTATGCCCCTCCCCAAGTCCACTGATGGGGCGGGTCTTCCTCTCCTTCCTTCTGATCCTAGTCTATCAGATCTCATCAGGCATGGCTGCATTGTCATCTTCTGTGGCCTGATAAGGCCGCTCCCCCCTCAGGGGGAGGTGATCAAAGAGCAGGCCAATCAGTTCATGTCAGAGGCAGTTCCTGTTCCCATTACTATGGAACCCACTTGGACACTGAACTGCCATGGGCTACATCTCTGCAGGGGTTCTAGGTTATCTCCATGCATGATACTTGGTTGGAATATGAGTCTCTGGAAAGACCCCTGTGTTCAATTAAAATACAAATCTTAATAAATAAAAGCATAACATCACCTAGCCACAAATGTAAAAACAAAGTAACAACAACAAGCAAAAGCAGATAGGTTATTTTAGTTATTATTTTATTTGATAGGAGCTTTAGAAATAAAACTGTTTCTTCACAGATTATAAGACAGTTTATTAGGTAGTCTTTTGGGGATTCAGAGTAGCACTTCAGAAGAAAGAATATTTGAAAGAAGTCTACAGTAAGAAGAATGCTTAACAGTGATAGAGCACACCTTTAATCCTTCCACTTGGAAGGAAGGGAGAGGCAAGTGCATCTCAGAGTTTGAAGCCAGCCCAGTCTACTCAGTGAGTTCCAGGATAGCTAGGGCTGCCTAGTATCTGGAAAGAAAAAACAAAACAAAACAAAACTCTAGATGACCAGTTCTATCTACCAGGCTCCCATCCTACTATTTCAAATAGTTTTAGAGCTAATGTTTTGTGTACAGAGCTAACTATAGCTGATATGGTGAATCTGTTTTCATTCTTTGGTAATGGTTTGAAATAACTTCAGTTTACAAGGGTGTATTCTTCAGTCAGCATGAGATAGACTCCAAGGACAGCAGATTCTGGATCATCTTCGCTGCTGTGCATCATGATATTTTATAGCCTGAGACGATTCTTCCTTAAGGAAAGACCAGGTCCTTTTAAGTAACAATTCTGCATAGTTTTGTGGCTTTGTGCTCATTTTCTTCTGGTGCCAGATGAGAGTTGTTTAAAGAACAAAAGAAAGAGACTTTTATGTTATATAAAATGAATGTTCTGCTCAGTCTTCCCAAGGTTTGCCACATCCTCCTCCCATCTGCATCCTGAGATGCATCCCACCCCATCCTTTCCTGTGAGTCCTCAGTTTGTTATGCCTTTGACTTGCTCTTTTACTTGCTCAGTTGTCTCAGCCAGGCAGCTTCATTTTACACAAGAAGTTTCTGTACCTTTGTGCTTCTCTGGCTCCATTCTTGTTTTGGTTCATTTTACACATTTAATAGCAGCATTCACATTAATGAAGCTGAATATTAGCCTCTGTCATGTGGTAATGCCTTCCTGCTGCTCTTGACCAAAGGCCTTGAATCATAGGAATTTTATTGACATACCCTCATCCTTACTATGTTGACTAACCATTCCAGCTATACCAAGGCATAATATCTAAATGAAGTATGATTTCTTAGACATCCAGGTCTTTTACAACTAGTTTCTCTGGAGCATGCCTTTCCATCATTGCCTGCTGGCTAGATTTGAGCCTGCTCTTTTTTGATACATTCATATATAATGAAACTATGATTATTTTTAGATAGGCCTTGGGTTGTGGAGTCCTGAAGTAAGATTACAGATGTGTGCTACCAGGCCCGGCTCTAGGAGTAAGTTTTTAGAGGGTTATGCCACCTCTCCAAGTTCCTCAGAGAGTATAGCAGGATTCATTCTAATAGACTGTGGAGCCAAAGAACTAGGTTTCTTTCTAGTATGCCTTCTACTGTATAAGTGACTATTTTCTAGATACTGAATTTCTAGAAGTCTAAAAGATAAAGAATATAAACTAAGAAATTATAAGTGAGTGTTACTAGACAAATACTTGAATCTTATTCAGAATTTGAATCTAATTTTAATCTTATTTAGAAATTATTATTTTGCAGCCATTGGCAAGCCTATACAACAGGGGTTCTCATTCTCTGGGTCACGACTCCTTTGTGGGTCTAACCCCTCTTTTGCCCCAACACAGGAGTCACCTAAGACCACCTAAAAACATGTATTACATCACAAATAACAACAGCAGCAAAATTACAGTTATGAAGTAGCTGTAATTTTGGAAGCAGTGTTATGGTTTGGGTGACTACAATATGAGGAACCATATTAAAGGGTCACAACATTGGGAAGGTTGAGAAGTACTGTACTAGGAGGAGTCTGAGTAACCTTGCACTTAATTCTCAGTGGAATACTTCTGTGTTTATTGTAAGCTGTATAATGCTGCAAAGTTAACTACACATGATCTAACTCTTATTTAACGTGGAACAACCTACATGAGCATAGACCATAGTCAGGGTTTGTTAAATAATGAATCTTCTTTGGAGGCCAGCTGTTCAGTCACTAGAATAAAAATATATTCTATTCTGCAGTTTCTTATCTGGAAATTGGTCTGACTGTAATATTCTAACTTATGTGCAGTGATACACATTCACACACATCTATTGGTAGAGAACCGATGGGATTGACTAGACTGACAATTAATACCATTTAACCATTAAAGTCTAAATAAATCTGTGTGTGTTGTCGTGGTAAAATGCCCATAGTATGCTATTTAGGAAAAATAAAAAGTATGGTGAGTCCTACTTGTATAAAAAGAAAAAAAACAAATATACTCCTCTTACAAAAAAAAAAAAAAACAACAACAAACAAACAGCAAAAGACTTATTTATTCTAATTTTATGTATTTGGGTGAGTACCCACATGTATGTATATATACCAAGGGTGTTCCAGAAGATGGCACTGAGTCCTCTGGAGCTGGAATAGGTATAGGCAATTGTAAGCCACCTGATCTGGTGCTGGAAACCAAACTAGCTGGGTCCTCTGCAAGAACAGGAAGTGCTCTTACCTGTTGAACCATCTCTCCAGACCCATATTTCCTATTTTTAATAATTTTGTATGTATAGAAAAAGTCTGCAAGATTATATGGCATTTACATTTCCTACAGTGGAATAGACTTGCTCTTTTGTATTTATTTGTAATTTTTAGTGATGGCTTTTTGATTCATTAAAGGTTATAAAATATGTTCATGTGAAGTTTATGTACTATACAGTGACAACAATAATTTTGAATATAAATACATACATGTATATATATTTAGTGTATATATATATTCAGTACATATATTTAGCATATATATACTAATAAAATTAAGGTCACTGTTGATTTTCTAAGTATTGTTTATTTAAAACTGAGAAGACTTGGATTTTTAATGAAATGTTAAGAGGAGTCAACTTAAAGGACAATTTTGTCTTTGATCCTGACCTTTTCTTGTGTGGTATCAAATTTATTACAAATGTTAGCTTGCTGCCATTTTTTTTTTCCTGAAGTACTGTTTCTCCATTTTTGTCTTAAGAAATAAATATCATCCTGACCTTCGTTTCTGGGCTTGTTCTGGGAAGAGGAAAGACCAAGGTCAGGTGGTATCTGGAGCAGAGAAAAAAGTGACACTTCTGGACACAGCTAACTCAGAGGAAAAGAAATATGTACAGAACCACAGAGAACCACCTCTGAAAATGGAAGGAACTTACATAACAAGTGAGCACAGCTATCAAAAGCCACAAAGCTTTAGTCAAGACTGCCAGTCTCATATAGACCCTGGAAGCTCAGATGATGATGGTGCTAGCAGTTGTGAAGAAGACGGGGAACTCCATTTGAGAGATAAAAGCCATGTTTTGTATTCAACAAAAGAGTGTGGAATGTCAGAGAAGGTAATGGTTCCCAAAGAACAATAGAAGAAGATGATGGAATTAAACACCTAGTCCTCAGGCTTTGCTAATCCTTAAATACCTGTTTAAAGACTTACTCTTTTTTCTCCACCACAAAATGTTATCCATGTAAATAATGAGTTGTTGTAATATATTCAACTACTACCTTAAGTTTTCAGTTCAAAAGCACACTTAGATGTCTCTAGAAATTGGTGGGCCACATTATGTATCAGGAAGATGAGTTTGTTTGGGACCATTTGGGTATATATGGTGTCACAGTTTTTCTTTAATGTGTTTTGGACAAAGCATTTCACTGTAGCATATTTGTCTGCATATCAATCCCATTATGCAGTAACTGTCTGTAAACTTGTGTCCTGTTTTTTTTGGGCTTAGTTTTGAAATTGAAATGAGCTCTCAAGCTTTATTGGTTTTCTATTAGCAAGGCCACTTTAAAACTAGGTTTTTTTTTTTAAAAAAAAAACTATTCTGGCTTTTTTAATCATTAAGTAATCATCACCAGAAGTTCATAAGTTCATAACTGAATTTGGAAAGCATATATTTTACAAAACTTGTGATAAATTATTTGACAAATTAATATCCATCTATGAAATTAATTATCTTTGGCAAACCTAAATCCAGATTTTATATGTGTGTGCTTGAAATAATTTGCATTATGAAGTTTTTAAAAGATTCTTACCTTCCGTTATCTCATCAATGTAAGCACAACAGTAAAGGCCAGTTTGCTATCAACTGGACTTTTAAACCAGTCTTTGACAGTTTGCTTGACAGTTTGTTTTTTTCTAATCATTACTCCATTTATGTCACCATTTAAAAATAATTGAGAAAGAAAATGGCCCACATTATCTAGTCATTCCAATTATGGAATGGAATTAATGTTTTCGTTTATTTAGCATATTTTTTTGAAGCCTTCTTGTATGGATCACACCTTGGGAGGGAATTAGGAGGGAGATGGGATACTTTTACTCTGGAAGGACACCAAGTAGGATGTGATGATATACAGGAACTTTCTCCAAAGACTTTCTCAAAGTCAGATTGGCTCTTGCCTACCCATGTAGGGTGATGGGTTTTTCTGTGTTAGTCTCATTTTGAAATAGCATTTTATCCAGTTCTCCGTGTTTTGTTTTATTCTGTTTTGTTCTATTTTTCCTCCTGGTCCTTTGGAGAAGAATCCAGCTTCAGGAAATAAAGTGTTTGTTTATAATGATAAAAAGGGCATGGAGGGCCCAGGAGATTCACATCTTCAGTGGCAGCTAAATCTCCTTACACACATAGAAAACGTGCAGAATGAAGTCACCAGCCGGATGGATCTCATAGAAAAAGAAGTGGATGGTAATGTAGCCAAGAGCTCAGGTGTAGCTACTATTGTGTGTGTAGTGTTGTTCTGAAGAAGCTGTTTGGAATTAGGTTATAGGATGCAATCTGCAAATACACTACCTGCTTGCTGAGCTCTGTCTCTTTCTTTACACTGTATATTTAGCATATGCAGGCTACTGAGGCTCAACACAGGATAGCTGAATATTATTCTTAGTAGCGGTTTCTTTTCTATTTTGTTTTATTCTTAATATGGATATTTATTAAATACAGCCCATATGTCTGGTTCAGAATAGAATATTTGGGGAGTGTTTGCTAGTTTCATTAAAAGATACTTTCTTTGAAGCCAGCATACTCATGAGCTTGTTCATTTCTACTTTGGCTAATATTTGTTGAGTAGAATTAGCTTCTACAAGTTAAGCAAGTTTGCATACAAATTTTCAAATAGTTGTCCCACATTTTTGTAAATGTTATTGCCACATAGAAACTAAAAAGTAGGTAGAAAAAAAATTCCCATATTGTATTTGAGAAACTGGAATAAGTTGAATTCCTGGATTCTTAAGCCCATATGCTTCCTTTGCTTTGACTATTTTCATAACCTGATAGATTATAACCTGCCTCTATGCTTTAATCCTCTTAATGTAAATATTACACCATACTAAGGCAGATGTACTGTACTTCTGCCTTTTCTCGCCTTTAAGAGAGGAAGTGGGTACCTGTTTTGGAAGCATCTTGTGTTTGAATTTAATTTGATTGGAGTTAGTTTGCCTTATGTAGATTTTTGAAGAAATGAAAATGTATATTCCATATTTTTAATAGATTTTAAAGGAAACAATGAAAATTGAGCATGGAATTGATTAATTGAATTCTATATAGTATTTGAGTCCAGTTGCATATATATATTTATTTAATGTTTCAATAAAGTAGTGATCCTAGAAAGGACACTTGAGAAACTGCTATGTCTTTCCTTTGTTAATGAGGAAGATGTGGCCTGGGAGAGGGCTCAATGGTAAAGCACTTACTTTGCAAATATGAAGACCTAATTCCAGATCCCTAGAGGCCATGCAGATGAAAGCCAGGTGTGGAAGCATATACTTGTAATCTCAGCAATGATGAGATGGAGGGTGGAGACAAGTTGATTCCTGGCACTTGCTTGCCAGTTAGCCTAGCTCAACAACATTTCTTGCTAGTGAGAGCCCTGATCTCCAAAAATGGTGAATGGTGTCGAAGGAACAACTTCCAGTTTGTCTTCTGACCATCACATACACATACAATCATGCTCCTGCACAAAGATACATGTGCATGCAAAGAAGAAAATGAAGTAAAAATGATTTATTTCTAAATTAGTAGAAAGTTTGAGCAGGCCCAGGGAACTGTTATGTTCTGTTATAGAAAAGAGTGAAAGAGACATGCTAATGAAGTGTGTATGTATGTTTGTGTATGTTCATGGTGGGTGGTAAGGAATGGGTTTGGGTATGTAGTTCAATGTTCAAACACCTGCTCTGGGTTCAAACCTCAGTATTTCAGAGGAAAAAGTGAAGATTACTCAGAAGGATTAGAACTGTTGTGGGTGAAATTATTAAGTGTATTGGCCTTCTGAAAAGAGGGAAGAGAACTCTTTGTTTCAGTCACATTCCATCCTTTTAATTGAGATAATCAATGCCATTTAAACTTTTTTTCCCCCTCTCTTCTAGTTCTGGAAAGCTGGCTTGATTTCACAGGGGAATTAGAGCCACCAGATCCCCTTGCAAGACTGCCCCAACTTAAACGCCACATAAAACAACTCTTACTTGACATGGGCAAAGTACAACAAATTGCAACTCTTTGCTCTGTATAACAGTGGTAAACACAGGATGACAAGAATGTGTCTGTCTTCTGTTGAATCATTTTTATTGCTAAGCGAATAGTCAAAAAGCTTAATGTTTGGTCATTTACTGATTTGTGACACCAATACTATGACATCTTGGAAGTATAATGAAGAACAACTTTATCAAGGAATCTAACATTAAAAATGAATGAGCAAACTGCAAATGATGTTATCTCCGCCAAGAATCAATGAGTAAAATACAAGCTGCACTAAAGGAATGGAATTGGCAGGATTCTAATAGTTGCTTTCATGAAGCTCAAGATACCTGTAGAGAGAATTATGGTGTGTTTGTATAGGTTTTAGAAGAGATACTCATGTTTATAAACCAGCATTTGGCCAAAACCACACTGTAAGGAAATTCAAGCTCTGGAGAGTTCTACAAGTTTGCTCTAAGAATTGCCTTCTAGCAGTTGGAACAGCTGCAAATAAACTTAGGTTATTTAAACTTCTGTAGGATCATGAGCTATATCTTGGGTGATGAATGTATTTAATCAGAAAACTGACAGTGGAAGTCTCACTTTGGGGGAAACAATTGTGGAATTTTAACTTCATTATGAATGTATTTTAAGAAACCCACCAAATAATTGGAATTTATTGCGGGCATTGTGCTCTTTAAAAACAAAGTGGCTTACATAAGGGCCCAATGTGCCAAATGTTGATACTGCTGGAGAGAGGATTTGACTATTGCAGGAATCCTTCCATCCACCGTACGCAATGCCATTAACCCATACAAACCTGTACACCACATGCTGTGTGTGCTCTGTGTAGGTGAGGGGCAGTATCCGGGCTTCAGCATACATTTGATCCTGGATACATTTGGTGTTTGCCTTTTGAAAAAAAAACTGTAAACCTCAGCTGGGATGAGGAGTGACAAAAATATCAAAATAATCTGTGGCTGTGGATTTTCTTTCTTTCTTTCTTTTCTTTTCTTTTTTTTTTTTCTTTTTTCTTTTTTTTTTTTTTTACTGCTAGTAGTGGAATACTGGAAAAGCTTCATTTATGAAGAAAAATTTTATTTTAAAATATAAATATACACTCAAAAATTTTAGCTTTGATCACAAATGGACAGATTTATGAAACCAAAGGCAACTAAGTTGCTTACTCAGCTCTTGCTGGATTTTTGAGCCTAGGTCCTACTGTCTGCCAGTCCTGGTGCGAGTTGTATGCACCCTCCAGTGCTACATGGGCAGGTATGTGTAAGTGAGTATGCTTGTTTAAATAGTTAACGTACATATGTACATAATCAACACATATTTATATCACACATATCTAGTTTTATTACTATAGATTATACAAATTTGTGGTTAACATAAAATGTTACCTTTTAACAGACTGTTTTTGAAACTAAAAGTGTATGTACAGATTTTTAAAAGGGGGAAGAAAAGACTGTTAAGAGGAGGCTATTTGATGACATTACACTTGAATATTTTTTTGCCTCATTCTGTTTATCAGTTCTAGCAATCTGTATAAATGCACTTAGAACTGATAGACAGTGAACTTGAATTTATCTTTGATAAGAATAAATGCCACTGTACATTCAGATATTATTTAAATTTGCAAAACACACTGTTCTATATGTAAGGTACTGTATGTAAAACTCTATTAAAACTATTCCACATATCTTAAAACTTCAGCTTGCCTTTTTGCGGCCTTATGTTTTGATGTGAAGATTAAAAGAATGTGTAAACCATTGAGAAAATTTTATTGCCTTTTGAGATTTTTTCAACTGACAGATGTGCCAAAGATTACCATACATAAAATATAGTCCTCTGTATTTACTTGTGATACCTAAACTTTGTTAAAGATCCTATTGATGAAAGCTTTAGCAGAAGTCATTGTGGGGTAGTCACTTTGCATATTAAAGTAAAAATTAGTGCCTATAAACCCTGTGTGGAGTAAATTTACTAATGTGTGTCTTTCAAGATTGATGATGTATTATTTGTTGATTTGTATTTTAAAATAATGGCTCTAAAATTTTCCATCATGACTGAACCCTAGACATTGAATTTATGTCTTTTTTTTTTTTTTTCAGAAAAGGAGTCAATAATGTTCTTAGTCTGTGAATAGTGGTATTGCCATGATTCTTTTCATATATGCAGATGAGCTCTTCATTCAGTGACACTCGATTTCTCAGTTCTAGTGACCTCGGTGAAAGTAATGCATAGTCTTGTAGTACATACTAGGTGCCCCAAAGCAGTCTGAAATGTTTCAAATGTAGAGTGCCAACTGGACTCCCCAAGAGGAAAGTTCTACATCTCACCTCATGTGGCAGGGTCACTTTCAAAGTACAGGCTTACTAAAAATGCAGCGTACATCTTCAAGTTGTGTGTTTAAATTGTACACAAAATAGCAGTGAAGTTCATCTTTAGACTTAAGTCTCATGCCAAGAATGTGTCATGATAAAATGTAAAGATTCCAGCATCCAAGAAAACACTAAAACATTTTTCTTCTTAAGAATTTCCAGTAATGAGCATTAAATCTGTATCTTAAGATTTGATCACATCGTTAGCAGCCAACAAATTGAATGCTTCATTGATAGACTATTAAGTGTGCTGCTCTGCTTGTTTGTCAGTGAATAAGAAAGCTGATTCTTCAATTTAAATATTTAAAGAATATATCAGATTATATACACATACTCAGTTATTATAGTACCTACCGATGAGTGGTTGAGGCCTGTTAGCAGCTAGAAGGCAGGACGTTTCTTTGAGAGAATGAATTAACTTTGGAGATGCAAATCTATTATGAGAAGTGTCAGGTAAGATTTGTTTTTTGTTTTTTCCTTTTAGTCTTACCTAAAATCATTGTATTGAAATGTAAGCAATGAACTGGAGAGTGTGTTTTCCTCAAAGATAATGTTTCATTTCCAGACAGAAGAGACTGAACCTTGATGGAAGAATTCGACCTCACAATTTCTGGCAAATATAACTTGTACTTCCTCTTGGTTGTCTGTGGTTCCACTGACTGTTGAAGTAATGTACTTTCTTCTTAAAGGAACTTATTTTTCTTATATTTCCAGGTGAAGCCCCTGTTATTCAGTTGTTTCATCTTATTGTTCATACTAAAATGTGCATACTTCCCATGTTCACACTGAAGCATACTACTTCCTCCCCAATAAACTGAATCTGCTGCCATTGTCACTGTCTTGGTTAATAACATTCTTTCGGCATATGTTTACATGCTGAATCAGCACTTAATAGTCATTTCATCACAACATGTAGAGATTCCTTACAACAACGATACTGTCTTTTTCAGGTCTGTTGGGAACCCATTATAAGGAGAGTCATGGAGATATGAGGCAGTTTTGCTTGCCTCTTTCATTCTAGCTTTGTTTCCATTCTGGGTCTTCAAAGCTGTCCCTGCCAGAATAGAGAATTACACTCAATAAGTACCCGCTCCATGCCAAGCATTGTAATGCTTCCTAGAGTATCTGAATTAATTCTCTCAGAGGATAGGCGAGAACAATTATTTTGTAAGTAAGCATGGTGAGATTTATACATACATTCAAACATACCCTCGATAAGAAGTAGGTTTTCATGGTCTGTGTAGCATGTGTTCCTTGCTATTCATGTCATTTCAGTTTTCTACTGTGAAACCTTAAGAGAACAATTCAAACTCTGTTGGGTCTGTGTGATATGAAACATATGCAAGCTGACCCAGCCTGTTCTCAGGTTCATGGCAACAGAGACTGACTGTTAGGACTGTGCTTATTTTTGTCTCTGGCCTTCATATCACTTCCATGTGTGAAAGAGCCTCACTTGTTCATGTCTCTAAATCCAAACACTGTCTTGAGCATCTCTTCCTAAATGAGATCAGTTAATTTCCTGTGTAGTATCAAGCTTGAGAGGAATCCTGACACTTTATAATAACTTGCTATACTGGAACAGACCCAGATTGTGTAATCTCAGATTTTCTGGCAGTTTACTAGCAATGTGATTCCTCCAAGCTTTGATTTCCTTGCCTGTAAATGAGGGCATACCTAACTTTGTGTTGAGAGTTAAAGCACCAGAAATGTATGAAATGGATTGAAAATCAATGGTCAGTGAGTGTCATCTGTGTGCAGACCATTAAGTTAACATGGTTAAAGGTTGATAGAGAATAAGGTCATGCTCTATAAGCTAATGGATGCACATGTATTTTCTAGTGAGAACTCAACCAAAGAGACCAAAGAAAGGAAGATAATTAGACTTGTAGGTGGTGGATCAGGGCAAGTAAATGTATATTCATTAAAACAGTGTTCACTTAAATTTTACTAGAACCTCCAGAAAAATTTAAGACATTGTAACTGCTAATGTCTGTTCTCTCTGAAGTAGAGCCCATGACAAGACTTGTGCATGCATACTTAGTTCATTAGAAACCAAATCTGAACATGTCAGTAGCAGGGGAAAAGTGGGGAATGGAAGAGGGAAGGAGAAAGCAAACAGAATTGAGAACCCTGCTATGAACAGTAGGGCTCTGATTCAGCCCTTTTAAGTTTATCCTAAATGCAGTGTATAATTTCCAACTTATAAATAATGACATTATGCCTAATCACTTGGAACACTTTAAAATGTATGGAGTTGAATCTGATGCATCCCAACATTATTTTTTTACTTTATTATTATTATTTATTACAATTTATTCACTTTATATCCAGGCTGTGGCCCCCTCCCTCATCTCCTCCCAATCCCACACTCCCTCCCTCCCTTTCCTCCACTTATACCTCCCCCCTAGTCCACTCCCTAGTAAGGGGAGCAGGGAGTTCTCTGACATGAACTCAATGGCAGGCTCTTTGATCACCTGCCCCTGGAGGGTGCAGCCTTGCCAGGTCACAGTGGTAGACTATGCAGCCAGTCCTCATGAGACCTAATAGGCTAGGGTCAGATTGGAAGGGGAGGAGGCCCTTCCTTATTGGTACCAACATTATTTTTAAAAGGACATGAGCAGAACTTTGAGGTAGGATGACAGACTAGAAGCTGCTATATGTGCCTTTGTGAAGAAGAGTCAGAATAAGGAAAAATGGACACTATGCAGTGAAGAACTTTCAGTCTGTGAAGGTGGTGATAAGTTTAAAAATGTATAGGAGGGGCTGGAAAGATGGCTCAGAGGTAAAGAACACTTGCTGTTCTTCCAAAGGTCCTGAGTTCAATTCGCAGCAACCACATGGAGGCTCATAACCATCTATAGTAAGATCTGGTGTGAAGGCAGGATGTTGTATAAATAATAAATAAATCTTTACAAAAGGTGTGTAGGAAAAGATGGGCAATGTGCTGAGAAAAAGTAAAAGTAAATATCCAGCAGTGCAACTCCCTGGCAGAGAGAGGGCAAACAGAAGCTAGGTGGTGCTGGTGAAAAAACTGACAGTCCTACTCTTAGGGCACATTTACAGCATTTATGAGCCTTAAATCCAGCTGCAGATTTTGTTAAGACAGTAAATGTTCATCTAGCCAGATGAACAGTAGAAAGGAATCCCATTCTATTACTAGTGGATGCCATCTTGAGAACTTGTTTAAAACTGGGCTATTTAGGTACCTGAAAATAGGACAAATCCTGGTCATCCTCAATTTTTTTTTTTAATTTTTAAGTATGGAAACAAAAATACACCTAAAAGTGCAGCTTCTGGAAAAACCATTTGTTCTTCCCTGCCTTGTATCATTCGTTAAACTTGACCTTGGCCTCCTGTCTGGCCTTGTGTTTCAGAGCTGGGTCTCTAAAGACATCCTATTAACAATTTTGTCCAAGGGATGTCCACAGAGTATCTTGTGGGCATGAGGTGATTGTAGTTACAAACTTTCACAAAGGATTTGATCTTTGATCTCGTGGCAATTTTCTTCTTGTCCATGGCAGCTGTCACTTTTCAGGAATAGTGATTGATTCCAGCCACCAGGGCATGGCTATAAGGGCGGTCTGAGGTACCATTGTCAACTTGCTGCACTCCTAAGGTAAAAGACAACCTTAGGAGGCCTCTGTGGAGAGTGTTAGCAAACTGAAAACATATGTAACAGGAATGTCTGTCCAGACCATGGACTTCCTAGAGAAACGTAGCTCTGCCTTTGATGGCTGGGAGCAAATAACCCTAGAGGTTGATAACCCCTAGTCTGAGATTGGTGGAAATCAACCTCTGGAATGAACTGCTTCCTTTCACTGCTGAAGTCTTGAGAAATTTGAAGATCCAGAAGAGTCATGTCAGGATGACCAACAAGTTTTAAGATCCCCAACTCAAATCTCTACCTCCTGTGAAGATCCACACAATATTTGTTATCCACATCCACTTTGCAACAGATCAGTACTTAGATTTTTTTTTAAAGATAGGTCTTGGGCCTAAACAAATCTCTACCACAGTAGCTCCCTTAATACAGAAATAAAGGAAGCTACTGAAGTGGGCATGGCTCTGCTGGACTTCAGGTCGTGAAGTACAGATTCAGCAACTTCAATTGGTCTTCCTTGGACCTGTGCATGAAACACAGGTCAATTCTAGAGAGATAACAAGCCACTCTAACACTTCATCCTTTATTTTTTCTTTTTTTCCTTTGTAACTCCCTTAACTTTTAGCAGCCTTTATTAAAAAGAAAAAGAAAACAACTTGTGTTTCTATTTTTATGCCCTTTCATAAATTCACCTAATTCTGTTGATGCACTTTTTTAGTGTTGGCCAATCATGTTTTTTTTTCCTGTTTGCCATTACCATTCCTTTTTTAATTAATGCATTTCAAAAGCTTGCCATTAAATGATCAATGGCCTCAAAAATCAAAAAAATAAGATGATTTGAATCCAGCAACTAAAAGTCACCAACATAGAGTGAAAAAACAAACTGGATGAGAAATTAAGCAAAGAGGTGATATTTAAAAAAAAAAAAAAAAAAAAAAAAAAAAAAAAAAAAAAAAAAAAAAAACAACTAAAGCCTGGTATGGTGGTACACACCTGTAATTCCAGCAATCAGAGAGGCAGTGGCAGGTGGAACTCTGTGAGTTCAAGGCCTGCTTGGTCCACAAAGTGAGTGCAGGACAGCTAAGGTCACACAGAGAAATCCTGTCTCGAAAAAATTAAAATGTTGAGAATGAAATAAAAAGTAAAACAGTAGAAAATGTCAATATAAAGAGTACCCTCAATAAGGAAAAGAAACAAGCATGGCTACATCTAAGAATTCTGGGAAATTATCAAGAGACCAACTCCAGAATCTATATGGGATAAAACAATTAACTGATATTTTAAAAGGCATATTGATCCTGTTTGATGAAATTACAGTTGAACTTTTTAGTATATACAGAAAAAATGGACACCCAAATACAAGAAAGATTTAAAGACTCAAATAGACATGTCCAAAAGAAAACCTCCCTAGAACATTATAATCAAGATGCCCGAAGTACAACAAAATGATATTTAAACACTCCCTTTAAAGGACTACCTGTCATACTATTTGAAGGTACTATGAAAGGTGCCAAGAGAAGAAAATAATCAGTAGTCCTACCAATATTGGATGTCTATGAACCACGACAATGACCAGCACAGCAAGATATCCCTAAACATACAATAGTAGCACTTATATCTTGGCACTAACCGGCACCTGTATAATTGGACTTAAGACCAATAAACAGGAAGGAAATCATGGTAGTATAACCAACTATGTGCCTAGTGATTTCATTAATCTTAGAGGTGAATGTACCACTGTTGCTTTCCAAAGTCAATATAATTCCTAATCCTCATGGCATTGTTAATACTTATCCTCACAGATAGTGTAGCTTTCCCCCTTCATCAAATAAACTTTTTTTTTCAGCACAGAGAAGCCATTAAAGAAAAGCAACTGATCAAAATGCAGAGAATATGCAAATGTGTTGCCCAACCACAGCTGGTAAATCTACAACACAATATCTGTCTACAGATCTAGCCCTACAGAAGACACTGGAAGGAAAACTCCACCCTAAAGAGGTGAACTGCACCCAAGAAAACACAAAGAATAAATAATCCCAAACCAGCAAATCAAAAGAGGAAACACACACACACACACACACACACACACACACACACACACACACCATACCACACCACACCACATCACACCACAAAACAAACCTGAGTTATATCCCCTGGTACCACAAGATGAAAGGAGAACCAATTCCCCAGAGTTGTTCTCTGACTACACACAAACACTGGCATGTGCACCA